TTAATCATTAAAACCGTAATGATTTTATTGAGTTTTGAAACTTTAGACAGGTGCTTGCCAATAACACATTTTTTGACCTTCTGAAATGAGTAACATTAATTTATGTTTTCAACCATTTCGAGTCAATTTTAAAAGTAGGAAATCTAGTATGCCCAATTATATCACATTTTTGATTCACAAGTTTGCTTTGTCTTTTATTCCGCTTCTAGTTGTTATTTAAACACTGTATTTATAACTAGGTTCTGTAAAAAGCTCGCTATCTCTCCACCTTTACAACACAGATTCCCTCCATTCTAACGTCGGCGCAAGCGCATCCAAGGCGGAACTCGTAATAGGCGCATTCCGCCGAGAGCCTGTGAACGCGCGGATCCCAGCCGTTCGATGGCTCAGCCATTAACGACTGGCTTCTAATGCCCTGACCTGAGGTAAATTAGCTTTGCCCATTTGGAGCCTGGATTTTTAATCACCTCTTTAGAATAAAGGCGCCGGCACTCCAGCGAAGGAGTGAATTGAAAAAACGCCTCTTGCAATTTATTGACTTTGCTCATCAACAGTTTTTTGTTGGTTTTAATGTGATGCTAATAAAGATTCAGTATTTGCGTGACTCTACACGCTGCATGCTAGCTTTTTATTAGCGAAAATCACCGAATAATATTGTAACTAAAAACGTTTTTTGGTAATGAAAAAGTTGTGTGTCTCGTTAGGTTCGATTGAAGTTTTCCAATTAAGGCAAAAAGTGTTCAAAATCCGCAATTCACCACAAAATCAGATTGTGCTTGAGTAAATAAAATCTTTGATCAACTTATAGGTACAGACCTCCCAACAAGAAAAAAATAGATGTGCAATTAAAATTTAATAAAAAGAAAAGATTATAATAACAAATCTGCACGGTCTTTGTTTCCCTGACGATATAAACGGACTCTTTGTGTGTTCTGACGATGGCCACTGGAAGCACAATAAAGATGGTATCATACCGAATTTCCTGCTAACGATATAATACACTGGAATTAAGTTTTATCATGGTCAAATCAAGATTATCCTTTAGAACTGACATTTAAAAACAAGTTACATGAATAGAACCTGTGTCTAAAACAAGTCTTCCAAGTCCATAGTCTTTTCATTATTAAGTGGAGTCGCAGACACTGAATATCCAGATCAGTTTTTAGATTTTGGATTTTTATCTCATCGTTCTTTAGGTCTGGACATAACCTCAAATGTGTCATCGCATAAAAAGAGATTTGTCCTAAGTAACGCAGATCATTAATATTTTCATTGTTCATTAAATCATTACCCTAGATCCTACCAAAAGGATGGGTGAAGATTCTCCGCTCTATATCCTCCGCTAGATCTTACCGAAATCTAATCTAATCTAAACAATAAACGTTTATTTCTCCATTTCTGTACGTTGTTACAACACGTCATAATTGCGGCATTATAAAATCCGACTCATAATCCCATCGGCATCGAACTTTTATTTCTCACGTTTTCTATCGCCTTGAGTTAATAACAATACGAGTACCTCCAGTAGTTACTGTACTGTATGACTTTTATTGTCTTTTATTAACTGTTGTAAGTAATTTACGTCTAATTAATTGATAAACTTGTTAACATCCAAGTTAATAAACCATCTTGAAGGTACTCATAATCATGAAGTACCTTGATTTATAAAATTATAAAATGCAATCTTTATTTCGGTGTGAAACTAGTCTTAGCTAAGTATTTTCTAGCGTTTTTATAGTCTAGTTAAAAACTCAAGCCGTGTCGCTTGCGTGTTTAAAATTGTTTGTTGCTTCTTTTCTTTTACAACATTACAACAGTTGTATCAAAGTTCCCTCGGTAAATTTTAAAGTTATATAATAATAGAGGTCCACAAGGTGTACCTTGTTGACCACTCGCCAATCTCGAGGTCTGTCTATTATGCAATCCAATACTAACTTGACGATTTGTAAAAATTTGATTCACTAAGCAGACCCCTATTTGCATTATATGGATCCCTTTTTTTACCCTACAGACAGGTGGCAATCGACGCGCGGGATCTAATTTAATACCAGCGATCTATTTTGGGGTATTACTGGTTACAAAATATATTTTTTATTCCTATAAAATCTATATCAATTTACTCTCAACCTCAAATCGCTGACACATTGTAAGCACCACCATCAACTTTGTAGTGAATTCCCTAAACGACTCTACGACCACAAACTTCGTAAAAAGTTGCGCCAACCTGAGGCTGATGGTGATCATTATTATAATTATTATAGCACACAGTTTATTACTAGTAGTTTTATAGCAGCTCGCTATTGAGATCTCACCGACACTGTCTACACCAGTTTCTTTAGATAGGTACACAGTTTACGTAAGCAACTGTGTTCTGTGTGATGCGTGTTTACTAAGTAGAAACCTACTTTTCGCTCTTTGATTTTTATTATCAATTATACAATTTAAGTATCTGTGAAGTAAGTATATTACTGTAGTTTTCAGGGTCAACCTGACTGTAGAATTATAAAATTGCAGTCACAGTTATTCAATTAGCACCTATAACTATTCACTAGTTCACGTGGGAGGGTATTTGAAGGTTTTTCACATGTTATGTTTACAAAAATCTTTAACGAGGTTAGTTAGGTAATCCTTGCAGCGGAGCGTAACAACTAATGAATGACTTACAAAACGATGTAAATGTAGAGAACTTTATCGATAGTTTACTATCGACTAGGTAAATGAATAGAAACTTTGAGAATCAAGTAGAAGCCATTAAAAGTGACCAACCTTTGTCGTTGCAGCGCACGTAGTGGTTCCAGCAATTTAAAAAAATAAACAGGCACTGTTATGAACACAATGTAACGGCACGATAGAGCACAGTTTACGCGGCCGGTGGGAGGGCAACACATGCGCGCGCGTCGGTCGTTCCGCGCTGACTGCTGCGGAGACGGTGAACGTAGCTTGACCTTCCTGCCCACGGAGCCTAGACAAACCTCTTGCGGGTCCGAAAATTCGCTTTCTTGCCAACTTTTCGCCGGTGTATCCGGCTCAAAGGACCATATTGCCAAAATACTAGTGCAACATTATGAAACTAATGAGTGAGATCAATGTTATCTAATCATTTAAGTGATATTCAGAATTGAATTGAAATGTAACACGTTAGGAGGGTAAGTTTTAGAAATTCAAAGCAGACTAATCTGGTACTATTTTTGACGTAACTTTATTATTTTCCCTAAAACCAAATAACTAGATAAACATCGAACAGCAGGTTGCATGCCAATCATACATAAGTAATGAAACACGAACACCATACATCTGTTCTGCAGATCTTTACATCCGTCATCGTGGGTAGTAAGCAGAAGCAAGAAATCGCCTTGATTTGGATCTTTATTCATTTATACGTGCTTCCGTCTATAGTTCGTAAATTGATTTGTATCAGCCTACGAGCGAAGGTAAGAGATTTCGTAACATCCGCCGGTATTGTACGAAATAACTGTGATTTAATTAAGGCACTGGCAGCGGATCAAATCGTAAAACCTCTGGCATTGTACTTGACATTGCTTCGTTACTTTAAAAGTAATTTATTTAGCTGGAAAATCGTCAAACCATATAAAATATTGCAACAGACATTTTTCTGAACATTGCGTTATTATTTTTACACGGTCATTGCATCTATAATGCTAAATATAATTTATCCAGAACATGTCATTTATCTTGAAAAACCTGAGGCAGTCGTTTTTCCAAGTGAATAAATATGTTCTAGTGTTTTTACATAAGCGTTGTTTTATGCTTAGTACTTACACAGGTGCCACACGTGATATAGCAATTCTAAGTTTTAAAACTTATTTTTAATTAGTCATTTTCCGACTTTAACTATTAAAATGTGGGTATATTTTTTACACAATTAGCAATAACGTAGGTTTGGGTCGCCGTTTTAGCTTATTGCGTTAATTTCACGAAATGCTTAATAAAGTCGACAGACACCACACCACGATAAGAAATTTTTTTGAGGCGCGAGGCCCCTTGTAGCGCGAGGCCGTAGGCGGTGGCCCACGTCGCCTACGCCTTACGCCGCCACTGGTCAAAATATTATTATTTTCTTTCCCACTGGGCACTTTGGGCACGTGCCCAGGGCCCGGCAACGGAGGGGCCCCCATCTGCCCAAAAGACCTTTTTCCAGATGATAAGGGCCCCTTGATTCTTATGATCCATAAGTGCCCAGGGCCCCTAAGAGGGCCTTGATTATAACGTGGTATCAGGAAGTCAAACAATAAAATCTAAAGTTGGTAGGTACCAACATAAAAAACCGCTATGTAAGTAATTGAAAATAACTATGTGTTTGCAACTTATGCAATTAAAACTGTTAATTTTGTTTATCTGGGTTCGAGTCCCGCCTTAGAGTAGGCGCACACCGTTGATTTTTAGTTGGCCGATAGTTGTGGTGCCCGATTTTAAATTGTATGAAGAATCAGCCAGATTCGCGAAGGCGTAGTGTGCGCACTCCCTTAAATGCCCATACTGATCAACTGCCCGACTAAACTATCGGCCGACGAAAAATCAACGGTGTGCGCCTACTCTTAAGCAGTTTCGATTTTTCGAAGTTGTTTATTTAAAATTTTGTTTATCTGGTTTCATCCAAACTCAAGTTATAGGGTTCCCTTCCTTGCCCATCGTTTGTTTCGTCTTAGCGGGTGCACACTGCCGTGCCATGGCCGTGCCCCAGCATTAATTTAACGCTAACGTTAACCACAAAATGCGTTAACTGTAAAAAAAAAAGGAAAATCGTAGGTACTTGTATTTAAACAATAATTATCGCGATTATGTAATGTATGAATATTTAAAATTGTAATATGCACATCGAACAATATTTTATTGCAAAGTAGCGTAAGATCCAGCAAGGTGGACGGGCTGTATGAGGGACGCACTATTTATTGTTGCTTTTTAGGGTACAAGTAAACCTTATACTGGTATCATTTTTTTTCAACTGTCAACGTCAACTTCATTTGAAGAAAAAAAAACAACTGTCAGCCAGTCAAATGTCATTAACGTCAAATTCAGTAGTCAAAATTGCTTTGTTTACCATGGCCTAATAATTTTTGATAACGCAAAATCCATCAATAAGCTCAAGCAACAAGCAAATAAATTAAAACTCACGTCTTGTCCATTCACGAAAATGAATTCGCTGTGTAAATTGGCGATAAACATTGGTAAGTGAAGTCAATAATCATTTATAGGTTAGGTATAAAGTCCTAGAAAATTCAAATCGGAGGTTGAAAATGCTGTTTTTTCAGCGGCCAGAAATCGGAGAAGGTTGTTGAGGCAGGTTGTTAGCAAACAGCAGTCAAGATGGACGTCTACCATCGAGAATCCGCCCGGTATGAAGCCTGCACCACAGTTCAGTATTCCCCATGGAATCTTTGGGCAGGCTACTTGTCATACACACCCTCACTTGATCCAGCCGGGACATTTGACGTGTGGTATCAGCCAGATAGAGTTTAGAGAGCGGAGGGAAACATTAGTCAACAAATTGGCGGCAGAATTTGAAAACATGCACAAAAGCCACATTGTAAGTACACTGCCACTACCCTTAGTCTACTAAGCTATCTTTAAAATAATTATTTAATAGTCTGAGGCAATTTCTAGAGGTGAGAAAAAAATTTGCTGTGAAGAAGAAGGAACTTAAAAATTCTGCTTAAAATTTTAAATAGAATCTTTTTACAAATCAACAAAATGTTATCTATATTTTATTTGTTGCTTTGATGATAGAATTTGCGTAAGTAATTTATTGAATCTATAAATTATTACATGTCTGTAATACTGTAGTGATGTTATTAACATTAAATACTATTTGTAATATCAAAAAAACAGTGTATTTTGATGTTAAATTATTATCTTTCAGATAGTAATACCGGCAGCCTGCAAGCAGTACATGTCGGACAAGATTCCGTACGTGTTCCGTCAGAACTCAGACTTCTTCTACCTGACCGGCTGCCTAGAGCCGTCTGCCATCCTGGTGATGGTCAAACCCGCACAAACTGATTCTTTCAAGGTTATTAAATTGTAATTTTTTAAAAGACTCAAAATCGCTCCATTGAATCCCATTGGGGCTATCTAATCATTTGCTTATCTGTGTATTAAACTAGAATTGTGTTTTGGTGACTGTGTTCAAATGCAGTATTGAAAGGCATTTAGAACAGCTATTATTTCTTTTACAACAGAGCAATTGGGCTCACTTAAATAATGTCTTCAAAAGGGGGCACCCTCTTCGAAAACTGCACAATAATAGTGTATGAAAGCTCAGCAGATCTTAAAAACAACAATCAGCTAACACATTGAAAACTTGTATAATTATCATGTTTGACGTATTGACTGTGCTACGCCCAACAGCAGATTCAGCTTACTAGTCCTGTGTAGCATTGATTGCATTCATGTAGTGTAGACAGACTTGCAAGCCTAGATTGACCAGTGAGCATGCTAAGGTTGTTCCACACTAAAGTCCTATCGCCAAGCAGATAAGAATTTCGTCCAATTACACCAAGCTACCCATCCTTATCGCTCGCGCGTAATTATATTGCTGTCGCGACTGTGCGACGGGCGGCCGTAGTGAGTGTGCGAGCGATAAGGATGAGTAGTTTGGAGTCATTGGATGAAATTCTATATGATCGGCGACCGGAATTTGCTCAAAGTGCTCGGCTCGTGTTCATCTCGTTAAGCGTAGACGCAGCGTAAAGTTACCCAATATTTTCAGAGTGTTCTATTCGTGCACGAAAAGGATGTGCACGCCGAGCTATGGGAGGGCCCGCGCACGGGCTCTTCCGCCGCCGCTGGACTATTCGCCGTCGACGAGGCGCGCCCCGTCGAGAACTTCGCGGGGTTCATTAGCAAGTAAGTTATTTATTAGCATTATATTGACAGAGCGTACTAGCCAGGTATACTGGCCTCGATTCGTCTCGTATCACGAACCGAAGACGCGCGAGCAAAAAGCCTATCGAGCCAGGTTAGTGGGAACAAGAGTGTGGACAGCAAGTCTCCTAGGGACTCTTCACAATAGAGAACTTCACGGGGTTCATTAGCAAGTAAATAGTTCCCTATATCGACAGAGTGTGCTATTCATGGGCGACGCACACACGGCCACAGTATTAACTATCCATTTCCGTTTTTGCTCTCGCTCTCATCAAATGGTGATTCTTTGCGATAGAACGAGACGACGTGACCGGCAATGGGCAGTTAACACTGTTGCCGATAGTACCCAGCTTCTGATCTAGGGAGGAAAATCAGATTTTTTAAGTCACATAGTTTGACTCCTTCAAAGCGACTCCCAGGGGAGCCAACTAAATTATTAGATGGTAGACTCGATTGGGCATCTAAAAAATATGTCAGTTGACTAGAGTATTTACTAACCCTATATTTATTAACTTAGAAACATCTCTATTTCCTACCCAGAATAACCGCGTCATCAAAGCCAGCAGTGGTCTGGTACCACGGCGACAGTCCTGCGAACCCAGACATCCACAGCACCATACAATCGGCCGCCAAGGCTGCGCAGGCGACGGTGGCCGACCCACAACGCGCGTTGCACTTTATGCGCGTGCATAAGTCGCCAGCGGAAATCGAACTCATGAAGGAGACGTGCTATATCGGCGCGCACGCTATGAATATGGCCATGGCTACTACCAAACCGGGTGAGTTGTTTTATATTGTCATTGAAATAGGTACGAGAGACATCCACGCTACAGTACAATCTTATTTTTGGCTAAAAAAATATATTCATCCACTGCTTCCACCTGAAATCACTCTTATTGCCGAATGTAGCACTATAGATAGTAGGTAGGTTTGAGTGATTTGAGACCCTTCGATGGGCTATCGATACTATAGATGGCCACATGGCCAGCCAAGTTAGACAGTTACAAACTGTTTACTTTCGGACAATGTACAGTCGCATTTACCGCTATATGTATTTTGAATCAGTGACTTAAGGTGCTATGTCCCCTAGATGGGGCAGAGGGCGTTCAAAACAGTCCTCCAACGCGTTCGATCTCGAGATTCCCGTTTGATATCGCTCCAAGTCTTGCGATTTTCTTCGCCTCGTATACTACAGTGTGCCACCAAGTTTGTTTAGGGCGACCACATTTGCTTTTTCTTTAGAGAGCCTGCTTGGGAATGTGGCCGATCCAAATCCACTTGTGGCACTTGATCTGAATCAATGATATGGCAAAAACATTACACAAAGTCAGTGCTTTACATTCTCAATAAAACACAATTTGGCTCACAAACTGACGTCACTTGTTTCCAGGTGTGACAGAGCACCAAGTGAACGCAGTCCTGGACTACAGCTGCCGGCAGTCGGGCGCGGAACACCTGGCCTTCCCGCCCGTGGTGGCAGGCGGCGCGCGCGCTACGCACATACACTATGTGGCTAATAACCAGGTCTTGAATGACGGGGATATGCTTCTGGTTGACTCGGGTGAGTGGAAGAAGTTTTTAAGTAAGATTAAACTTTTTGAGGTTTGTGTGCGCGCTACACACACACACACACACACACACACACACTTTCATATTTTGGGTCTATCTGTCTCCAATATTTCCCTATGTTGGAGACAGATAGTCCCTAATGAATGATAGCAGCTGGGCTTTCCGCCAGTGTGACAGTTGACGTGAGGCGCGCGCGCAACGTACATACACTATGTAGCTAATAACCGGGTGTTAAATGACGGAGATATGCTGGTTGTCGATGCTGGTGAGTGGAAGAAGTGTTTAAGTAAGTAATAAATAACCTCTAGCTTGAACTATCATAGGTTGCAGGAATCCATTTGTAACGCTACTCACAAGCACTTTCGTTTCGGGATTATCTGTCTCCAACTTTTACTTATGTGCGCTACTCACATATACTTCCGGGGCTATCTGTCTCTATTGCTCAACCCAACATCTCGCTATGTGTGAGAGAGATGGATGCAAGCAGCTGGCCTTCCCGCCCGTGGTGGCAGGCGGCGCGCGCGCTACGCACATACACTATGTGGCTAATAATCAGGTCTTGAATGACGGGGATATGCTTCTGGTTGACTCGGGTGAGTGGTACTACAGTATCATTGCTTCTAGATTCGTCGTCGTAGAACATAGAATACTCACTTTTTCAGCTTTCTTGGGGAGTTTCGTGCGCGCTATCTATCTCTATTGCTCATCCCAATACCTTGCTATGAGTGAGAGGGATGGTCTCTGCTGCTGTCGGCGCGCGCGCTACGCACATACACTATGTGGCTAATATCCAGGTCTTGAATGACGGGGATATGCTACTTGTCGACTCGGGTGAGTAGAAGAAGTTTTTAAGTAAGTAATAACCTCAAACTAAGTAATAACCTCAAACAATCATAGGTTGCAGTCACTTTTTTGAGGGTTGTGTGCGCGCTACTCACACACACTTTCATTTTGGGACTCTCTCCAACATTTCCCTATGTTGGAATGTCGAGTGGATGCTAGCAGCTGGGCTTTCCGCCGGTGGTAGCGGGTTTGCGCGGTATACTCACATACTCCCGGGGCTGTCTGTCTCTATTGCTTAACCCAACATCTCGCTATGTGAGAGTGAGAGAGATGGATGCAAGCAGCTGGGCTTCCCGCCCGCAGTAGCAGGCGGCGCGCGCGCTACGCACATACACTATGTGGCTAATAACCAGGTCTTGAATGATGGAGATATGCTCCTTGTGGATTCAGGTGAGTATAAGGAATGTCCAATATTTTTTTCCTGCAGTAGAGACTGAATAACCTGATGATGTAACAGGTCGCTCGCAAAACACGTTTCTCACCTTTTTTTAAAATTACATAATGTACATCTTTGTCCAGCAGTGGACGTCTTTCGGCTGAAACGAACGAACGAACATATGCTTCAATCACATACATATTCGTTTCGCAACTATCTGTCTCCAATGCTCATCCCAACATCTCGCTATGAGTGAGAAGCAGGGATGTTATGGATATCCGTAACCGTAACCGAAACTTTCGGATATCCGAAATAAAAAAATATCCGTAACCGAAACCGGTATAAAATTATTCTTATATCCGTAACCGTATCCATAACCGAAACTACATATCCATAACATCCCTAGTGAGAATCTTCCAATCTTACGTCAGATCACTGTGGTATTAAAGTAGAATTTATTTGTAATAATTTGAATAATAAAAGTAAAAAAAATGCCTGTAGACCTGTAACCATTAGTCGTCTAGAACGTTTTAAAAATAATCTTGAAAATAAATTGCATTTAGTCCCGTATGTGCAGGGAGACCCAGATGCTCTTTACAATAACCTTTTCGAATGTATTAAAACCGAACATGACAAAGTTTTTACGGTAAAGCCATTAAAACCAAATACCAAATCAAAGTTTAGTGACTGGGCTACCAAGGGAATATACAAAAGTCGAAATACGTTATATGAACTTTATGGCATGAAAAAGTATAATAATAGTATATCTTTTCTTGAGCATGTAAAAAAGTATTCAAAAATTTTTAAGAAAGTTTGCTTCATGGCTAAGTCTTTTTATATTCGGGACAAGATAGGGAACGCCAGTAATAAAATAAAAGAAACTTGGAATGTTATCAACCGAGAGACTGGTAAACTAAAACCAAAAGATAATGACTTTTCTCTCAAAGTTCACGATAATTTGATTTCTGCAGATAAAGATGTAGCGGAAGCTTTTGACAAATTTTTTGGTAATATAGCTTCAGCAACAACTGCCAACTTAAAGTCATCTCCCTCCGAGGCCGAAGAAATATTGAAAACCCACGTGACACCCTGTGACTCGCACTTCTCTTTTAAACATATTACTCCATTAGATATCACTAAAACTTTTAATCTTTTAAACGTAAAGAGTACAACTGATATCTGGGGCATCTCTGTCAAGATAGTCAAACACATTATTGATATAATTTCCCCACAGTTAGCGATAATATTCAATAATTGCATAGAGAAGGGAATCTTCCCCGACCTCATGAAACATAGTAGACTAATGCCATTATTTAAGTCTGGTAGCAAAACCGACCCTGGCAATTATAGACCCATTTCTATCTTGCCCGCTCTNAGTTAAGCTTTGATTTTTTTAAGATCTTGTTCGCATCGTATAGCAAATATAGGAGATGACTCAGATTGACGTACCAATACAGTTCCTCGACTAACCCAAACAAACTTAAAGCTACACTTTTTGGCTTCTTCTCGGCATAAACGAAACAACTGCTTGTTTTTGGCTGTAAGGTGTTCGTTAACATACACTGAACATACAGTGCCAGGCATACATAGTTGGTCCGATTTCAGCCCTCTGTTCGCTCGCGATGCTGCCATGAAGTTATCACGTAGTATTTTTGTAGAAAACTTAACTATTATATTTTTTGGTCGGGTGCACTTCTTATCAAAGTGGGGCACTCTATGAGCGGAAACAATGTCACTTTTGTTGATGGGGTGTTTAATGACAGCACCTATCTTCTCAACGATAGCTAATAAATTTTCGTCACGTCGCTCAGGCAAGTTAGCTATTTCAATGTTGTACAGTCGCGCCTGCTGCTCCATTGAATCGATTTTGTCTTGTAATTGAGTTACTTGACTGCTAATATCATCACTCGAGCTCAATCTGCTTTCTACCTGCTTTAAACGCGAATCAATGCTGTCCTGCCTCTCCATCGCGTATGATAATGATTTTTCGATGTTATCTAATTTGTCTCCAAATGTCTTGAGGGAATTGTTTATGGTCGAGGTAATGTTTTTGATCTCTTTGTCTAAAATAGAATCAATAGAATTTTTGATACTGTCGGCGATGACGACGTCTAACTGCGACTTCCATGAATCAAGCTCAGCACTCAGTTTTTTCTCAACATAATCCATCATTCGTTTGGTGTTATCATCCTCGGGCAGCCTGCGCCTACGGAAGCTAACAAAGTCGTCGTCTCCTTCACCTGATTCGGGTAGGTCAGGATTTGATGAGTATTTTTGTATTTTTGCTGGCGGTGATCGCTGCATCGTGATAAGTTTCGCGACGAAATCAGCCGAACGAGTCACCGAAGCGACGTAAGAGTGAGACAGAGTTATCGGTCCGAGCAGGTAAGCAATAATGTCACAGGTACGTCACTGTAACTGTGGCACACACAATTTTCGAAGTTAAGGTATGGAGATAAAGTACAAGTTACACTGTTAGAATTTATGGATTTAACTAAAAACTTGCGCACACGTCCACTCTAAACTGGTCCCGCGGACGTCTGGACGTCTGGTTCTTCTGGTAAATAATAAAAGTTATGCTCCTGTAATGAAGAACAAATAAGTTGATGATAATGATAACATATTATGTTATCATTATTTGTTATTTTAGTATATTATAGGTACTAGGACTGGCAAGTTTCATCAACCTCAAAACACTACATTTAAGAGTTAATTTCCTTAAAAAAACAGTTTAAGTAGTTGTTTTAATACACAAAGAATTTAAGCCCTTCCATCACCCTCACCGCGCCCGCGGCACTCGTTTTGAATCGAGGGTAGACTCAGTGGAGGGGCCAAAGCGCTGCCAAGTACCCCTATTGACTACGCAACAAAACGTCTAATAGTGCGCGTAGGGTATCACAAAGGACTCTGTAGAATAGACACACAAATATCTCCAAAGTTTTTATACCATACTAGCTAGCGGCCGCCCGCGACTTTGTAAGCGTAGATACCGTTTTACCTTCTTAGGGATAGAGTTTCGTAAAATCCGTTCTTAGTGAGCACCTTCTTTCTAAAAGGAATCCCAATGCAAAATTTGAGACTCCTAGCACTTGATTTCGTGATGAGTGAGTCAGTCAATCAGTGACCTTTCGCTTTTATATTTTTTGATAATACCAAAGATCTCACATTAATCTGTCGGTGAATGTAGGTTTTTGGTCTAAATTATAGACCTTACTTTGTCAAGTAAATTCTTGTTATTATTCCAAGCACTACATAAGTAGGTATGTATCTAAGTAGATAATTTTTAATTGTTAGCACTAGCCTTACATAACTTGACTTTTCGGAATGCTACAGAAAAGTCGCTATGTCTATATTCACGCACATACTTACACTAACTCAAAAAGTAATTTTGTGAATCAAATTACTAAAGTTTCATTCTTTAGTTAGACGTATTATATTATCTGTGGTTAGACTCAATTTTTATTCATTTATCGCACAAAATACGAAAAGAACTAAAGGAGCCCGGTTTTATTACTTCATTATTCCCATTCCGCTCACTCATTAATCAGCTGGCGCTTTCATTCTAAAATATTACTGGCTTTATCGCTACAGCATTGTTTAGGCAAAAAACCGTTTATTTTTCTTACAAGAATTCCGAAAAAACAACCTTAACACAACGAAATAACTCACAAATATTTATCCCTAACAGAAATTCCTTGGTTTTTACAGTAATTATTTCGAGCTCACACATTCCCGCTTTATTAACCTGTGCCAGGAAAAGTGCACCCTTATTCTGTGTACAGCAGAAATCTTTAGCAGTCGAAAGTTGAATTGAATTGAATTGAATGTTAATAGCAATGGGTCTTGCCAAACGCATAACCAATACGTTAAAAAGGCACGTCGAGCCAAAAAACGGTGGTAACTTCAACACGTATCTTCATTCTATACCGGTCGTTTTATACCAAACAAACCTATTTTCTTTCTTTTTCCTACATGGGTAAAAGGAGCATAATTTACGGAGATGATCTCTTTTCATTTACCAAAAAATATCCTCATAAAAACAATCATTTTTATTATGGTGACATCCACACCTTTATTAATTTGAAAAATCAAATTATATCCCGATCTAAAACCTGACAGTGCCATCTATGCTTTGAGCTTTAAGTTATCTTCTCGCATCACGGGTGTAGAAAATTCGGTGCTCACATCGATGTGTGTTATGCCGGTCACAGACCTAACGCATGGAACACTTTTTACAAAGATTAAAGGATTAAAAGACTGGATTTATTAGCAGTTTTTCCATTTAAAAAATCTAGCACTTTTGCAGACATTATTATCAAGTTCAAAGCGATTGCCATAACTGTTTAAGGTCCACAATAGGTGCCTTGGTGAAATAATAAACGCGAACAAAGCGCCACTTCCCGGTGGAACGCGGCCGGGCCTCGATTCCTGCGGAGCGTTGCATGCGGGAAAGTGCTCTATTAAGGTGTTGCTACGATACTTCCAAGTAGAGTCACTTGCCTGATACCGGGGAAAACAAGTTCTAATAACTTTTGTTGTGGAAGGAAAATCATAGCGTTTTCGGTATCTGAACATGGTTTGCACTTGCTTGACCCGCAGTCTCAACAACCCTAGAAATCATAAAGCCATGTATTTATTCATTAGGCAACATTTGTTGATAAACTGTTTATGACTAGTGTGAAACAAGTTTACCATAAACACAGGTTTCTGAAACTTGGCCGTCCACACTTGCTCTCCACTCATAGCGAGGAGCACGGCAACATGTATCATAAACAATGTTTCATCACCTATGTTTATGGACTGTTTATAAACTGTTTACAGAGATGATGAAACATTATGAAACATTGTTTATGAACAGTTAATAAACAGTGTTTATCAACGAATGTTGCCTAATGAATACATGGCTTAAGGTTTTGCAGTCGCTCTACCACTTTAAACAATGGATTATCAATCACCATGATGATGTTACGCTCGACATAATCTACGTTTAAATTCTTTATTCCTCGATGACAGTATATAGTAGGGAATTTAGTGCAAGAACCCCTCCACTTTGGTATAGAAGGCTCATTTTTACAACAGTGGTTCTTTGGGTGCTCCTGAGTGGATTTCCGTCGGTAGACATCGGGAGCCCCCCCTGTGGTAGCAGGGGGAGGGGGGGCAAGTTTCCTTCCGCCGCGCTTCACTTTAAGGCCCATATCTTCAAAACTATGGGTATTATGGCAAGTGTGGTATCATTTTCGGATAATTAAAGGATGGCGAATTCATTTCTAGAACAAACTTTTTGCCTTTTCATACAAAAAAATTGAAATATTGAGTAAAATTCACAAAAACCAAAAAGTATTTTTTTAAATAAACGTCGTTTACTTTTAAACCACTGGAGATAATCTAATAAAAAAAATATGACCTGAAAGCTACATTTATCAGGATTATAAGAATATAACATTGTATGGTACTTTTTTTGCAAAAAGTAGGTGAAAAAAATTTTTTCTTCAGGACACAGCGGGCGAATTTTATTGCGCATCGGAAAAAAATATTTATTTTATCCATGAATTCATGCTATTTGGTTCATAAGCAAGCAAGGATTATTATTTTAGAATTTATTTAGAGTTGCTGGCACATCAATCTACCATAATTTGTATTTTTTCGTCAATTGATTTTGAACTCTATGTGTGAGACATAAGGTTGAAAATAGCTTAAATACATTTTAATATTGAAAATATCATAAGAAGAAAGCACTATATAAAGAACTTTAATTTTATTTTTTTTATTAGATTATCTCCAGTGGTTTAAAAGTAAACGACGTTTATTTAAAAAAATACTTTTTGGTTTTTGTGAATTTTACTCAATATTTCAATTTTTTTGTATGAAAAGGCAAAAAGTTTGTTCTAGAAATGAATTCGCCATCCTTTAATTATCCGAAAATGATACCACACTTGCCATAATACCCATAGTTTTGAAGATATGGGCCTTAAAGTGAAGCGCGGCGGAAGGAAACTTGCCCCCCCTCCCCCTGCTACCACAGGGGGGGCTCCCGATGTCTACCGACGGAAATCCACTCAGGAGCACCCAAAGAACCACTGTTGCAAAAATGAGCCTTCTATACCAAAGTGGAGGGGTCTCCATACAAATCATTGCACTAAATTCCCTACTAATATGACTGCATAAAATTCGATTGTATCCCGTCAAAGATTATGATTAATCCGGCAAAATAAGCGCTAATCCGAGGCAAATCCACACTCTGTGATCGCTGCAGGGTCGCTAATCCACCGAGCGCGTCATTCATTAAAATGTGGCGCTGCCAGCTAGCGATAAAATGTCAATAACAAGCTCTTAAAAGGTTTATTAATTTCCAGCGAGCACACATGACACATTGTCGCTGTAATTTCAGGCTTAACTCTTCAGGGCAAGATTGGAAACAATTGTTAGCTCGATCTTTTCAACGATGATATTAATAAGTAACTTCAACCAACTACCATTTTCGACCTTTAAGCGAATGCCAATCCACTGCGGGACGTATACTTGCGCCAAAGAAACCACATAGAGCCCAATCGCGCGCATTTTCCATCAAGACACTTCCAGCTGGCTTCTTCCAGTCGTCGTTCCATCTTGTAGATATGGGAGACAAGGTCTCTATTATAGATGCTATAAGTTCACCTTTCATCAGTTCTCCGACAAGATCTAACTCACAATCAATGGCACAAAATTCTACTGATTTTTTTAGTTCATTTATTTATCACATAAGGTACAGGACAAAATACATTTATAAAGAGATGTCTTGTATACTATAATTATAACAGTAACCTTCTACCTCTAGCAGAAAAAATACTAAGGCCGTTTCAACGCAGCATAAATCAAACAAAGCCTGCCTCACCTCGCAGCGTCGCAAACAAATCTCGCGACCGCCAAGAGCAGCCCTTTGTCCTGAGATACCGGGAAACAAATGGACTGAGAACGGGTGTTACTCTTTTTAGGTAAACAAATGACGTAACAATATTTTCGGGCATTTTGCTGCCTTTGGATAATGTTAAAAAAATGATTTACCAATGCAGGTTCAAGGTATTGAGATTTTTCGCGATTGTGACACCTAAAATGACATAATTGGCGACATTAATAAAATAGAAGATCGACGGGCCAGCTAAACGAAAATAAATCATTATGAGTGTGATGATTTATGAATCTTACTAATCCCAACTAATATTATAAATGCGAAAGTAACTCTGTCTGTCTGTCTGTCTGTCTGTCTGTCTGTCTGTATGTCTGTTACGCTTTCCCGCTTAAACCTCGCAACCGATTTTGATGAAATTTGGCATAGAGATAGTTTGAGTCCCGAGAAAGAACATAGGATAGTTTTTATCCCGGTTTTTGAAACAGGGACGCGCGCGATAAAGTTTTTCTGTGACAGACAAAATACACACGCGGGCGAAGCCGCGGGCGGAAAGCTAGTATTACTATAAATGCGAAAGTTTGTATGGATGTCTGGATGTTTGTTACTCTTTCACACAAAAACTACTAAACGGATTTTGATGAAACTTTACAGTATTATTTTTTTATAACCCAGAATAACATATAGGCTATAATTTATGACGATCTGTGACAACCTAAATTTCACGCTGGTGAATCCGCGGGCAAAAGCTTGTGTTGTCATATAGCTAGAAATCATGGGGAGCCGACTAAGGCAAGAAAAAAATTACCATTTTCCATCAAAGTGGTCAAGTCAAGTTGATTAGATATTTGATGGAAAATGGTAATTTTTTTCTATTATATGCTCGTTAAAGTTACCCTTCAAAGTCACGACTCTCCATAAATATAAATTCCGTTGATAACATAATTAAATATCAGCTCGGATGGATATTCTTAGTTCACCGTTTCTCGCAGCCTTTTGATCGAATTAAGTCAACTACGTTAACATCATACGCTGCTCCACATATTGAATAAATCCAATAAACAAACTACAGCTAGAGGCAAACAGAAAAATTATGTGAAAATATTTTGGTCCTTTTTATTTTGTATGTAAACAGAATAAAAAGTAGTTAAGAGGAAAATAATGACCAATATTGTTAAGAATAAGAGTGGCTTGTAACAGTTCACTTTAAACGACAACTTTATCGAAGATTTGAATTGCCCACAGAAGTTCAGTGAAAAATATCAACTCCATGAAAAATGGCGACATCATTCTTCTCTACGTGACATAACTTTGAAAATATTTCTGTGACACGAAAATATTAGTGACAGAGGCATTTACTAAAGTCTTCTTCTTTATTTTTGGGGCTTAAATATTATTTACTCTAGTCTAGGTTAGTCCTATTAACATAAAAATATATACACGTAGTAATTACATACATACATAACTCTAAAGCTATAAACCTACGCTATTTGAAACGCATCTTGATATTACTCAAATAACTGTCCCCAGCTAAAATTCTGGTTCAAATTCTGGCTTCAAAAACTTTTCTTAATCAACGTACCACAGTTTTGGAGTTAACACGCTTGTGCAAATTACTCACAAGTGGAATTCCCAAACTAACGCGCTGTGGAGCTCTGTGCACACAGGCTGCACTTTCAACGTCGCACCAGAGGCTAATTTAATGAGATAGGCACGTTCAACGTTTAAGCTGGCTCTTTTGGAAATTATAGCAGCAATGTTGCTACACTGTGCAAGTTTACAGTCAGTGATAATAAAGTAACTAACACAGCTATTGCCAACAGAATGAAGTTCAGAAGCAAGATGCGTTCCAAACGCAGAAAACAAGTTACGTAAAATTATTGAAGATTCCAAACTTTTATAAACGTTCCCCATTAGAAGTCCTGTCGCTGCAGAAAGTCTGTCTGCACCGAAGAAAAACTAACTTCTAAAGTTTTCTAAAGTTGTGAAAGCTGTTAGCTGTTCAACACCTTTCATGTGAATTCTATTTCGAAAGGATTTGAAATGAAATACCTAACTTTGTTTTTAGAACTTCATTATTAGTTGATGTTCTCTTCATTAGCTGTATGTTTTAGTTCTTAAACTCTCGTTTTATAATCATTGTAGATACCAAGTTTTAATATAAACGTGCCATCTCCGTCCTAGCTGAAAAATATTTCCGTTCCGAGCAACTGAGTTTAAATTTCATTCTGCATTTTCAAATTCAAGTCGTAGATTGGGTGTCTAGACAGAATCTGCTATATGAGTACATTTCCGTAGAATAAATTGGAACGCCACGACGCGTCGCGCCGCGACACGTTTAAATTTCATCAGAGTCCCGCAAGGGACCGCCCTATGACCAAAATTGTATTTTCTGCGCGAATAGAGCGAGTGTAACGAGATGTCTCACAAGATTCTGATATGTTTTCTGTCGCCACGAGCATTTCTTTCTACTTGTTAGAAGTATGATGGTTTATTCTTTTTGCAATCAATCACTGATAATGTTTAAAAAATGGAACGACAGCGTAGATCAATCACAATGTTGAACCAAAGATGTTTAATCATGACGAAAAGCATCTGGATATTGAAATTTAACTTCCTCGATCAATTAATTATACCCATTGTTAAAAAGTTTATGTATTAAATACATTCATTACAAAGATTCAGTATTTGGCACGTACTCGTACACGAAATATTTACTTGTGTAAGTATACAACAAAAGTCACTTTTGACCCATTTCATGCAATTTCGTTTGAAATTCTCTTTGTGGCTCCAGATTTAGTCCCTGAAGGCTCCAGCCTTTATCGCCACTTTATCCCACAGACGCAGACCCTGTCCTCCGCTGCAATAGGCATCCATAAATTCTGTCAAACGCCTTATCCAATCCCCTTTCCGTTCGCATAAGAGCGATTTATGAAGATATACATAATTGAATTGCTGTGTTGGATATTTTATCATGAGATCAATAATCGCAATCATTTAAGAAATACTTGCCTATTGACTTATTTCAATCTATGTTGAATTTATAGTTTTTTTGATAAATAAGGTTTAGGTTAGGTTTTAGGTTAATAAAAACAACTTCCCTTCTTTGGGTAACTACTCAACAACCCTTCTTTGGGTAAAAATAGAAACTTTTAAGTGTAAGTAAAGTAGGTTTTTAGTAAAGATAGGTAAGGACTACACTTTAATATTTATGTCAACGTCTTCCAGCTAGATCTTTATTAGAGCGACTGCCTTAGTTATATCTATCACTGTATATACCTATATCAAAGGCAAGAAGGGCCAAACACGGACACAGAATCCCTTTTAGAGGATATTGTCGAGCATCAATACACGTTATAACGCCATAAAGCTTCAGGATTAGGCGAGGGGCTAATTCTGAAAAGCTGTAAATGTGCACCAAAATAATCACATTTACTTCGGATGTCGTCTCGGAGACATGTGGTAACTGGTAGTTACCATAATATCATATTTTATGGGATGATATAGTGGTGCTTTTGACATTTTCCTTTGATATAAGTAAGACTTCTATACTTGTTATCCTGCTACTATATTCTTAATATGCATGAAATAATAATTTTAAACGAATATGGTTTCCTCAGGAACCAATTAATTTGAGTCAATATCGTTTACTTTCAGGTCAGATTCTAGTCAAACGTAGGTTGAACCTTCACATTTTGGCGAGGGTTCAATGATGACTATTTAACGATATGAACGGACGTTAGTCAACCTTTAATCAAACATTTACGTTAACGTCTACGTGTTGACTATGATAGTTCTGCCTATTCGTTAATATTGTTTAAAATACTCGTATTTCTAAAGAAATACCAATGTACGGGTATCTATTTCTGATTTGTACGCTATTCAGCTATGTTACGACATTTTCGGTCAGTCGCTTCGGCACACATCAAATATATTCTTTCACGCTTCGCTGAGTCCGCCGTTCGTACATTCTAAAGGCGTCTCTTTCGCGTATTGTCGGGTATAGACAGCAAAATACACGTGAAATGTTACAGCTCTCAAGTCCGATACGTGTAGATACATTACAGTCAGGCACGAAAGCGTTGTTATTTGAAAAGGTATTGTATTGACTTAGGTTCCAAAAGTTTGTGCTCTTATATTTTTCACTGGCTGACTGTAACAAAATACAGGTCCTTGGTTTGAATTATCCAAGGTTTGTTTTCATGAAGACCACAAATATTTTCTTCATAGAATCTAGCCCGAAATATACTTTGGCAGTAATTATTAGTTTGCAGTCAGTTATACTTATAGATTTACTTCAATATACTGGGACTATAAAGTTCGATGCCAATGGTAGTCAAACTTGTTCGCGTGCAAGATTAAATTGGCACTGACAAAGTAACTGAAACTTTAAGTACCTACTCAATATTAAAATATTTATTACTGACCAATATTTATTTTTGTTCACAGGTACTCTTCGACAGTTTCACCCTCGGGCGCTTCACATCGTTCACCGAAGATGGCTGTCCGGACGGTTACATGCAAATCCAAGAGGCTAGCCGTCCCCAAGTCGGAGGCTCCTGGTGTGGCACCTCCTGGGGTCCCTCCATCTACTACAGCGAGACCAAATCCATCACCCTCATCATCAGACTCCTCCACCTCTCAAAAGACCAAAACAACTACAATTTCGACTTCAGGATGGCATACAAAGTTCTTCGAAGAGAATTTGCTACAGTACGGTACGGGGGCACGCCGCCATCAGGTATGTAAATCGTATAAAATGTAGCGAATGATTCCCTATTGGATTTTCCTCCGCATATTTTATGCGCCTTGTGCCAGGGACGTTTTTCATACAGATACCGTATCGGGATGTTTCATTTCATATTTTACGTTAAAGGTTTTACTTGCGTTGAAAATTATTCTGAGCACATAAATGTGACACATACGAGTAAAATACTAACCCCCTTACTAATAAAACTTACAAGCTCGTTGAACAGTGTTTTAAAGTGACGTTTACATTTCGTTTGTGAAAATGTCATTTTAAAACAGTGTTCAACAACTGTGTAACTTTTTATTAGTAAGGGGGTAAATATTGAAAGTGCAAAAAGCACTAACAGTCCTATTAAGTGGAAATGATTATCACGAAGTTTCTATCTAATAATGGAATTTTAGTTCTATTATATTATAATACATCCAATTCTGTAATGCACAGAGTATATATAATACGTTTAGCTAAATAATCATACATTATTCAGCATTAGTACTGTTATCATTTTAAACTGTAACATCGTAGCAATTTATCATCCAAAGTAAAGCAAAAACGGATCTAATTTATAAGCCTTTTATTCTCATGAAACGCCCTTGACACATCCCGCGAAGATTTATCGAGCATTACGTAATGACTGTATCTTTTGCAGAGCGCCCTTTCTTCAAGATGAGGCCGATACCTATCCCCTTGAACATATCACGCGAAGATACAAACGTGGCGAGGACAACAAAAACTGCCGAATATTACCTCGGGGATCTGATATCCGGGACTTATTGCTCGCGAATATTCAGCGACTGCGACCGTAAAAACTGTAGGTTACAGTCGCCAAATTTCCCGGGCGTTTACCCGAGGAATTTGACGTGCTACTACGCGGTTAGACAGCACGAAGTGCCACAAGGGAAGCATGCCTTGATTGTGGTGAAGCAGCCGAACGGGCAGCTAGTGTCGATCAGAAGCCAGAAAGCATTATACGCTGCACAGCAAGAGAGAGGGGGAAATAATGGTCGCGAATTAAAATTTTGGCAGCAATGCGACGAGGTACAAGACTACGTGACAGTCTACGACGGGTACACGACCAGGGATCCTGTCGTTTTAAGATTCTGCGGCGGTGGGGTGTCAGTGCCAGAAGCGATATCCAGTGGGCCGGAATTATTAGTAGAATTTACGACATCACCATTTGGAACCTTCCTGCAGCCAGCCACGTCGCAATCTCTCCACGGCTTCCAACTAGAAGTTGAGGTGAGATCGCTTCACGTTCATAACATTTCGTTTATCTGCATAATATCTCGTTTCTCGGATATAGGTAGGCTAATTTATGCAGTGCGAACTTTGTTGGCAAAGCGACGAAAAAGTTTTTCGGACCCTCATTAACAAACTGAAATGGTATTAAAGTAATTATAAAAAATTTTATTCGCCTAGGCGATTTTTTACATTCACTTAATTTCTGGAATTATGACACTGAAAGAAAAAGTTACAAGATTATAAAGGATGAAAGATTTGCCCTAAAAGAACTCCATCATTCAAAAAGTTCCAACCAAAAATAAACATGTCTCAAAGGTTCGCACAAAAGCATCGAAATAGAATCACAACACAACAAAGCGGCAGCTTCCTCTAACGGTAATATCCTCACAATGTCTCAATTTATTCCGAGGTAGTTGCTGGGAAAATTTATTATCATTAGAGAGGCCCGGGCGAACTTGCAACTCCTTTTATTGCGTCTTACTGCCGATGCGGAAATTTTCCCGTAAAACTCTTCGGCGACACGTTATTGTGTACCCGGGTTTATGGACAGTACTCGTGACTAAAAGTAATATTGTGAGCTCTACCCTCTTGACCTGTTCATGAAACTTTAATTACAACTTTAGTGTCATTGAAGTGTCTATTACAGATATTAGTTTCTTTGACTACTTCATTTCAAAGACCAATAAGATTTTAAAAGTTATCTCCAATTTTGTAACTCTTATGAGTCTTTATTGTAAAAGGTAATATCTGCTGTATGGATTCGCTAAAAGTTACTTATAGCTTGTAGTTAGTGTCAATCATAGAGCGGCTAACCGTGAGATGGACTTTCCTTCTTTATCATCGCAAGTTAAAGATTCATAATTTTAATAATAAATAAATACCTACTCTTAATTCTAAAAAACACAATTATTGTGTAGTAAAGAGGGGTTATCCAAAAAATTGGAGAACCGTCATTAAAAGAAGCCTCAAAAACAAAGAGGCAGATGGACACCCAAATGATCTTTTGTAAAATTTTTACGGAACCTTAAAAACTTCCTTAATTTGCCCAGCTTTTTTAATTAATCTAATTTCCATCTTCAAAGTCATACATAATTAGTTTGTAGTCGAGATCTATTCACAAAAAGCTTTTCATTATTCAAATTCTATTAACGTAAGAGAATTTATTGTACTTACTCTTTAGTTTTCATTAGATGTTCATTGACTTGAGTTACTTTCCAATTTCAGTTTAATTAATCACAACTAAGTAATTAATCTAAACAATTCTCGGATAATCTTTGAATCTGGTTATATTAGCCAAATGGAGTTTTAAGCCTCAATAGTTTTAGCCAAACGAAGTTTTAAGCCTTCAATACCTAAAAATTTCAAATTTTCTATTAAATTGACCAGCTTGATTTTAGAATTCTCTAATAGATTTGCATGTGGCCAAAATTGGGTTAATGGGTTCATATATCATTGCGGAGTGTTATTTAAAGTGTTTCGTTCGTGAACTATAATAAATCAAGCAGTGCCGCGAAGGCTTCGTTGGGCCCCTGCCAAATTATAATTAGTGCGATAGGCCCACACGCTTCGGCCATAATAGAGAGGATTCGAAACATTCATACACATTGGCCTAAGTAATAAGATTTGTATGGTCAAATTGTGAGGTCACATTATCTTATCTGACGTCATCTTTTGTTAATGTGATGGGGCATGTATTTCTTTATTTACCTTTCTACGGTTGAATTCCGTGCGTACGCTTGCCATTAATCTTTTATTAATTCTCTAACTCTCTTTGAAAATGTAGCATAAAATATGCTTTCGCTGCATTTTTGGTCGCAGAAAATTGGTCTATTTCCTAAATTAAAGTCATTTTCCGTTTCTAGTATGTCGTTAGCAAATGAAAATGGCCCAACTGAAACTAGTTCGCCAGCAAATATGCGACGCTTAGTTCAGCGTGAAATTTCCATGCAAATGTTTGAATCGCGACGCTGATTACTCACTAATCTACCAGATGTAACATGAACGGACATGTTAAACGATGAATCCATGATGATTAATTGAATTAAGCTGCCCAAAATGTTAATATTAGTTCCAAACCCGCGTACCTAATTTAATATCTTGATCAAAAACAATGGGATGTTATCGCACCTCCTTTCACCAGACTTGATTAACGATCTCCAGACCCAGTTATTGTATAATGAATCAATTTCAGGTCAGGTTCGTCGATCAACAGTCGCCTACATATGCGAAGAACAAAAGGGCCTGCGAGTTTTGGATCCGAGGGACGGGCAAGGGTGTGTTGGAGCACCCACAACATTCCCTGCCTCCGAACACGACGTGTCTTTACCATATGCAAGGGATAGATACTTCGGGGCCGTCGGGGAGGAACATAATATACAGAAGGCCCTCGTTCTCAGCGCCCAGGTTCAAAGTGTGGTTCTCTGTATTGAAATTTTATGTGACCAACGCTCTCAATCCGAATTTGCCTGAGGATGAGTATTGTGGCAGCCATTTGAATATATGGGACGGCCCGATGAGGATATCGCCAGGCTGCAGCGATATATTTTGGTGAGTTTATTTGTACTGCGCCATTTTTGCTGTTTTGTGAATATCCGCAGAATCGCTCCAAAGAAACGATAGCGGTATTGGAAACACGTTTTGATTTTATGTCAAATATTAGTGATTTTGTTGCAATACAAATGGGTAGCAAACTCTTGCTTACAATTCGCGGAATCAATTTACACTTTCTCATAATATTACCATTATTTCTTGTATTATAATAGCAGTATAGTATTTATTAATTGTTAAGTATTGCTATTGTTAGAAAAACATTATTTCTATGTTCTCGTGAAGGATACCACTTACATCATTGCCAACTATGCCATGCCATACCCTTGTTTACAATTAAAAGCGCTGTAACGAGCCCCGGCTAAGAATGTTAGGATCTCGTTAGTTGCTCTTGTCTAGCACTTCGTGAATAAATGAACGTGGCACAAGATATGGAGAACAGCCAGATAAGAGCATTAGGTAAGCTTAAAGTAAATGACATAAAAAAGTTGAAATTACAGTAATGCTAAAGAGTTGACAAAGTTGCCGTAGATGGTTGTAGCAATGAACAGTCCCCGAAGTTAAGGCATTACAATTAATTTATTAATCACCCGTTAGTAATGCATACCAATAAACTTATGCACATTAACATTCATCATTATAATGCCCATGCAGGCCAATGATAATTGATGGAAGCTGTAGGTGGCTGTAGGGTGCCACAATTTATATTTTACATAACAATTCTTACTTATTTGCAATCCATATAACAAGCTAAGCTTAGTTTGAGACTGAATAGCGCAGTGAATTGTCCAAGAAATTTATTTATCTAATGTTACTCCTAAAATGTCACGTCATGTGAAAATACGAGTTGAAGAGTTCAAAGTAAATTGCTTGTCCTATTTGGGCTGTACCTAGAAATGTATTTGTGGAATGTTGGAGGGAGATTCCGAATGTTTGTACGGGCATGGAAATTCATAGTAACTCGGCATTCCGTTTCAAATAAATATCATATCAAGGATAAAATCAGGCATTTCTAGGATTTTCATAAAATAATACGGCTCGTATTGTACTGTACATACCTACAGTTTTCTATTCTTAGAATTCATTTGTAATGAACAATGTGTTATTTGCCAATTTGATATCCGAAATCTCGTAATACTAAGATCAAAACAGTGTTTGCTCCTGACAGTAACTTCTGAGCAACCATTTCACTATAAGAATCAAAACTGTTATTCCTTTTAAGCTGTGAGTTTAAGTCTGTTACAGCAGGACTCATCATTTAAATAGTACGAGTATGAGTACCAAAATTTGCACCTTTGAAATGCATATGGATCTATTTGATTCTTTCAGTGACAAGGAAAGATCAGTACAAATGTCTCGAGCCACATCTCCCCAGTCTGTAATCGTCGGTCGCCCTCCCACCAACGCAACCCTCGTCGCGAGGTTCTGCAAAGAAAGGGCGCCCAGGACCTGCGAGCATGCCCTGCTGAGGAAGTCCAGGGCATGTGCCAGGACCGAAAGCTTCTTGTCAAAGGGAGACTCGCTGACGCTGGAACTGAAGTTGACTCAAGGAACCGCACTCAAGTAAGTTTGATTTGTTACTTACCCTTGTTTTTGCGATCCGAATGGAAGATCCCCAATTTGTGATCATCGGTCACCCTCCTACCAATGCGACTCTGATCGCGAGGTTCTGCAGAGAAACAGGGCCCCTAGGACCTGCTGTCATCTGTTTCCAAATTAACTAAGAAATATTAAGTAGTCGGTTCTGATTGTTCCTTCTCATTTCAGGCCAGTATTCTTCAAAGCCCTCTACGAGTTCGTGGATCTGCACCAAGATGGGGAGCCCTGGGGCAGAGGTCCGTGTTCCAGAAAGTTCTCGTCCAGATCGTTCCCAGAAGCCCCGTCTGATCCACCCATCACCTTCTCATCGCCAAGAGACGTTTTTCTGTATGGACGAGGTGGTGCAAGGAATATCAGGTGAACAAGAATTTGAAATCTGTCTTTTGAATTTGAAGAAATATGGGTTACCATTATGTACCATCTTCACTTTTATTTACTGTACTTTACATCTACATATCAATAAGATCGCATGTAACAACCACAAAAATAGGACTGTGAAGACAACTAAGTTCACTCTAATAATAGAGATAATAATAGAGTGGGCGCATACTCATGCGTTTTTAAAATTAAAAAAACCTGTCTTCATTTATCTTTTTCAGTTTCCAGCTACCCATAGGCACAAGACGACGGCACGTCAAGCATGAACTGCATCTATGTAGACATGTAGTTACTATGTACCTACAGCAAGTCTTATGTGCTGTTGACTCTACATAAGTCATATTGCTATAGTATTTAGATGTATGTAAGCCATAAAGATGTTCTTAACAGCGATTTAATTCTATAATTTCAATTTCCAGCTGTACATACCGCTTCGAAGCCAACACAGGCGAAGTGGTGCGCCTGCGCATTTGGGGCGTACGCAGCGGCGGCCGCCTCTGCCGGTCCGTTCACTCGGCGCATTCCCCGTGGTTCCGATGTGCCGGCGACCATACTGCTGCGGTCCGCGTCTTCGACAAGCCGTGGAAGAATAATGGCCCGGGTGTGCCTAGAGATTGCTTGTGCAGGTAAATACACCACTCTTAAGCGCATTGAGACAAAGCAGTGTTCAACGATAATAAATTATTTTATTCTATACTGGTCATCACAAAAATCGGCCCACCTACGTTTACAGGATAACTTTTTTAAAAAAATATAACCGACTTCAAATGCGTGAACACAAAAAAAAAACTAAAAATTAAAAAAAATGATAATACCTATTCAACAAAAATATAATCGTTCAAATTGGTTCATAATCGGCGGAGATATTGCGTATAAAAAAGTTCATCCCCAATTTTCCACCCTTGGGGGTGAAATATTTTCTTCAAATTCGCATGAAACCACCCTTTTGATAATACCTATTCAACAAAAAAATTATCGTTAAATTGGTTTATAATCGGCGGAGATATTGCGTATAAAAAAGTTCATCCCCAATTTTCCACCCTTGGGGGTTGTTTTTTTTATTATTAAATTTAAATGGGACCACCCTTGAGGTATTACCTATACGCCGAAAAAAGATTTGTTCAAATCGGTTCATAATTGACGGAGTTATCGCGTAACAAACATAGAAAAAAAAAAACATACGGGTCGAATTGAGAACCTCCTCCTTTTTTTGAAGTCGGTTGAAAACTCATTTCTACTGACACAATCATGGTGCCCCAACAATATTGGTGTTATTTAAAAGCCCAATAAATATCCTTAAAGAAAAACACATTTAATTTCTAGCGAAAAATTTGGCTCAAGCGTAACTACCTATTTTTTGAAGAAGTGACTCTGGATTCTTCTACAGACACATTTTTGGGGTAAAAACCTTTCCTTTAATGAAATGAAGTTTAGAACTAGCTTAACTACTAACTAGGCTTTTAAATGGTGCCAATTGGTGGGAAGTGGGGATGCGGACGTTTGAAAGTGCTTGTCGCGGGAGGGTCGATTTTGGTGATGACCAGTGTAGATTTCCCAGCACTCACATTGTGATGAGTTTAAGTTAGATATACACGGTCTAAAGTAGAGGCGACGTACCGGGAAACGCAGCGTGGGACGTCTACCCACAAGGTGGACCGACGACCTCATAAAGGTACTTAGAAGGAAGGCGTTGGATGCATGCAGGCCGCTACCAACCAGGCGATGTGGAAATCATAGGCCATGTTCAGCAGTGGACGTCCTGTGGCTGAAAATATGATGATGATTGTGATATCTATTGAAAGTGATCGTGATAGATCTGGGTTAACTTTTGCCTCCTAATTCTGAGTATCAGAGTTTCAAAATACCTAAGCTACGGCTTGCGATGACGAGTCATTACTCCTACTTTGTTACGGCACGCAAAAACATTGAACTGAACATTAAACTGTGAATTATTTTTAAAGAATTACATCTATCTTCTTTCCAGTGACACTGGAGAATACGAGTTCACCTCAACTGGAACAGTGGCGGAACTGAAGTTCGACGTCGTCAACATGTCTGCCACCGACGACTTTCGGTCGTTCGGCTTCGAAGCTTCTGTGGAATTCGTCAGGCTGGACACCATCTGTGATAGCACCCATAGGGTGTACGGCTCGAGCGGGGAACTGAGGCTGACCACCATGGCGCCTGTGTCAGATGCAGTGGTGAGTGTTACTGCATTTTTTTTTAAGATTATTAGTTATTTGTTGTTGCTCAAATTACTAATAGTCTCGTTAGCCCCTCGTACTAAGCTAAATAAATATGCTGTATAGTATAGTGAGCTCACCACAATAGTCGAGCGGTGGCGGGGATCGAACCCGCGTTCCCCGGATGAGTTGAGCATTGAATTCACACCTTAATGTTTTCATTACTTGTACTGCAGATGATATTGTAGCTGATAATGTTGTCTGATTTTGACATGTTAGGTATGACGAGGTAAATAATTTTAAGCAATTTTTATTCCCAGGATCGCTGCGAGCGTCGGCCGTGGCTGATCGATCCATCACCCGGCCACTACCTCTACCTCCAAATCCGGGGCAGAGTCATCAAGGAACCAGAGCTCGACAACTTCACCCTCATCAACAACATCACGGTGGCACCAGACCTGAGGCACTTGTGCAGGACGCAGAACAGAATAGCAGTGTACGCTGGAGGGTTGACGCCGGTTTTCATATGCCCTGATCCTCCGGATGATCAGGTATGTTTTCTCTAGCTTGATTGAACCTTGAACTTAAATACTATGAAACATATTATTTTTAGTTCTTTTCGTAGATTTAGACACAATGATAAACATCAACAATTTTCTTGCTGCAGTTTTTTAAAGAAATTTAATTTTGTCTACAGGCATGTGATGATCAATCGTTTTTTCTCCTACGAGTTGTTGTACGCATCATTTGCCATGTCAATTTTGATTCATACTCACGAAATATACTCAGCGGAGTTTGCTTTATTACCTTGTGATTTCATTAGCAACTTTTGATCCATACAATATCAACTCAAAATGTATGTCAGTAAACAAGTTATTGATGTCGTAATTAAAAGCCAAACCAAACCAAACCATCCTTTTCTCGCAGCTTAACTTTGTTTGTTCCTCAGAACGACGAGGTAGTGGAAGTGTTCTCGGACGGCTGGCTCAAAGAGGTGGACCCGTTGGCGCGGCATGTGATGGCGCCGCCACCGTCCCCGGATCGCTTCGACCTGGACTGGCCACGTTCGTTGGCGGTCGAGCTCATACCTTCCGACACTGGCGCCTATTACATCACGTGGCTGGAGCTTTCTAGAAGGTAATTGTACTTGATTACCATTAGTTAAGTATCACTAAACAAATCTTGTTTCCAAAAGATCCGTAATATATTCAATGTTTTCTTTACTCCGGCTCCGGGTCATCCATGAGCGTAGAATGCTCATTTGGGTCTACGTTTTTGATGTGATTGTTGAATTGACTACAGTACGCCAAGCCATGGGGCATCTTATTAATTTTTAATAGGTGTTATTTTACAAAATCATCATACTTTTTCCAGACACCCCAACCCCCGAGGCGGTGTTTTCGCACTTTCTGGTGAGTGCGAATACCGCTGCGCGTCTCTCGACGCGTGCATCTCTGCTGAGCTGTGGTGTGACGGCATAGCACAGTGTCCTCACGGGGAAGATGAGAGACTGGCGCAGTGCTCAGCGCTGCTAAGAGTACCCGCCCACTACGCCGCTGCGATGCTGGCGTTTACAATCCTCACGGCTTTCGCAGTGGTGAGTTACAACACTTAGTTTTACTGAACTATGAATCCATAGTCTCATTGTGTCCGTTTAGAAGAATGAGAGACTGGCACAGTGTTCAGCGCTGCTAAAAGTGCCGGTCTACTACACCTCTGCCATGCTGGCGTTTATTATCCTCACGTCGTTAGCTGTGGTGAGTCACAAACAAGTAACAATATTGGTGAGTTGCGGTATTACGGTATATCTCAGTGTCCTCGTAGAGAAGACGAGAGGCTGGCGCTATTCTAGAGTGCGCAGTGCTCAGTGCTGCTAAGAGTTCCTTAATTTGAAATCTATAGGACCTTGTAATGTTAAAAACAGCCTGTCTCTACTTTTTGGAAATATTTACGTCTACATAAAATAAGTAACATTATTCTGAATCAAATGTGGTAAATTCCTAACAATGCTTTATCATAATCATCACGCACGCAAAGAATTATGACGCCATTAATAATCTAAGCACGCACGCAGATCCTTTAAATAAGTAAATAGGCATTAAAGATTCTAGTTAGGTACACGCTTTAGTCACGCTCTAATTATAAAATTTTAATACGTTAGCAACAGCAATCTCTGATAACCTATTCATAATCAAGCATTCACATAAAATTGCGAGTAATTAACTGGTCATGAAAAACAATTAACATTGTATTTCAAGGTTACCGGAGACGAATGTGAAGTAGCAATTGATTTAACACAATTAACACTACGCACGCAGAAACAATAGAAATCAATTGACTCTAACGTTGTTGCAAGGATAACAGCATATTTTTTCGAATAATTGAGACTCTGTATAATCGCCACATGCTGTATTAATATTGTTTTAGGCAAAATATCCCAGCGGAGTCGGTATGATTCAAAATTCTAGCTAGTTCGATCCCCTTTTCCTCTGACAGCTGGACTATTGTGATGAACCCACTCCTTACCCACTCATAAGAATACCTAGAGGACCACATTGGTTAAATTTTAAACCATCATCATCATAATTTCAGCCATAGGACATCCTCTGCTGTACATGGCCTATGTACAGCCTCCTCAAATGATTTCCATACTGACTGGTTGGCAGCGGCCCACTTCCAGCGCCTTCCACCTTTATGAGGTCCTCGGTCCACATTGTGGGTAGACAGACATCCCACGAAGCGCTTTAAACAAAATTTTAATTTGGAAATTTAACCCAACATCTCATATTTTTAATGTACAGATTGCCGTGACGCGATCCTGCCGCCGCCGGCGCTCAGCGCTACAGCAGCGGCTGAAAAGTCTCTCCTCAGACACCGCCATCTTCGACGAGAAAGAAGTGATTTGCTGACCAAGCGAGGACTCCGTGCGATACGTCGAGATCGACCGCGTCACGACTGTGTGACCGCGCACGGAGTCTTGTTGCTTGATATTGAAATTGAATAAATATAACTGCACATCAAGGTGGCATCTTAATATCGTTGTAATAGGTGCTATTTTGCAACAATTTACAGTCTGATGTGCTGTTGTACTTGGTGGGCTAGTTCTAGTTGAGCTTAGGAATTGAATGATAAGACATAATTTTGTTGTGATGGAATCAAGCAAGTCATTGTGACGAGATGAAAATTATCGTTATGGTCGTGACACTCGAAAATATAAGATAAAATTGCCGTTTGTAAAATAAAATGTATAACGGACGCTGGAAAGTAACGCAAGATTTAAATAAATATTTAGCAAAAGCCTTGACCAAATATTGCCAACACAATATTCAAAAGAGCATCAAGGTATATATGGACTCAGATTTAAAATCAAAACTTGATTTAAGAGTTCGAGAGAAAATATTCAATAATGAAAATTTCCTAACTGAATAAGATCAACTTGGTGATTTTTTTAACCAAAGATCACATGGAAATGATCAACATACCTACTGATAAACATAATGTGTAAAAATTTAATTCCTGTAATGAGTATGAAGTCAATTGACGATTGTTTGAAGAGGTGTAATGAAGTGTTACTAAAGTTCACTCAAATGTACGAAATATGAGTATTACGGATATGAAAATCCTAGTAGAGATTCAATAACTGATATAGACTTTTCAATAAGTATAAATAATGTAAATAATATTATAATTGTGATTAAAGTAGAAGTTATAGCGTGGAGGTAATATATTTACGGACCAAGTGCAGTCGATCGGTGGCCAAATCTCAAAATAGACTTTCAATCTCAAATCTACATAAAGATCAAAATGTTTTGCCGATTTCAAAATTATGCTCAAATACGCAAGTCACCCAATTTTTAAGATAAAAGTTATACTAAAAATACTTACCAGAGATAAGATTATTATCAAACAGAATTTTAATGAGACTTGAGTTGAATGTTATTTCCTAATAAATCAATTTGCGAGATTTTCTATTTAATAGAATATTTCAATTTATCCTGATTACTTGAATAAAGAATAATTTATTATTATTATTTATTATTATAGCCAGCAAAATATTGTAGTTATAGATTCTATTCGCAATGAAGTTTCATTACGAATACATTAGACATACGAATAGTAACGAAGGAAATAAATCATGAGTGCGTTTGAAACCGTTTATTTTAAGTAAGAAGTTTAAAGAGAAATAAAATATTTACACAATTCAATAACTACCTGACGTTCGTAAACGATCTGACGAGTAAAAAAATTCAAAACAATGTAAAACGCACAATAATAGGGTACTACAATTTCATACATAGCTCATTTTGGGGGACAAAATTAATGTAATCTAGACTAGAAAATAGAATTATCAAGGTTTGTGTTAGGTAGCAAAATCAAATATAAATAAAATATAAGTGATAAAAATAAAATAAATCGGATGACTCATAATCGTTCTGGCAAATGGTTAAAGACACTTTATTTCTCATAAGAATACAATTGATTCACTTACTGAGAAACTAACATTTTAATACATTTTTTATAAGCGACACGAGCTTCGCTAAAAACAAAGAAATAATATCACTAAACTAATATTTCATAAAAGACGGTAGTCTAAAAAAACTCAACCAAACAGTCACAGCGCGGACCATTCCCTGCGAGTGTAGAAACTTGAACACGAATGCACGAAGCATTGAAAATGGATGCGGCATTGTTGGCATTATCACGGCAGAGTGAGACATGATTAAATTATTACATTTTTTTTTTAATATTTTATCAGCAACACCAATAAATTTGAATTAAAAACAGTTTTATATTAAATGAAATACAATTTATATGTGTATAACAGAAGAGTATGATTGGCCGATCGACTTGAGGCACAAATCGAGTAACATTTGATTGTGATTGGAAATGTAAATAATTAAGATTTTGTAGTGTCTCCTAATCAAGATTTGTTAATAAATAACATAGGGATCGTTAGTGAAGGTAATGCGGCAATAATTGGGTTCGTATTTATTTATAAATGTGTTCATAATGGTATGTGTTCTCAAGACGCGTGAATGAATGCTCTTGTAAATAAATGATGGTGAGCAGAATATCATCTAAGTAACAACTGTTTGTTAATTCTTAAGCACGCAGTTAAAAATCACCGGTTTCCTAATTATTTCACTTCTTAAACTTGTACAATTATTGAGGAATGGTAAGATTGGTACTATTAACATAGCATGTTGGTTTTGAAATAAGTATGCCTAAAAATACTAAAACCAAAATCTAAATAAATGGATAAATATTTTATTTGTGATTTGCTTACATTACATACTAAAAAATGTGTTAACTTTATCTATATTTTATCGTATACGCAATTTAAAACTGCCATTTTTGTAAGCGTTTTGATCCAAATCAAATAACCAAACCTCTGAGTATTATTTAAAAGAATCATAGTTTAGGTATTGCCACATGGTGTTTGAGAATGTTAATGAGATTTATTTTTAAAATATTGCCACTTAATACAAAGAAGTTGATCTAAAATAATATTCCTAACTAATTTTCAGAAACTAAATTTTCATACTAGAAAGACAAAATGAAATGGAATATAACTACTAACAAATGCGATGTAAATAGAACTAAAACTATTCATATCTTATAGGTGTATTGAAGTGATATATGTTTGTTTCCCAAGGAAATTATTAAAGTTTATGATATCGCGTTAACTATTAGTGAAAATTGTAGAGTATTTGATATTGAATGAGAGCAACTTGCTATTGATATTAGTTTAAATATAAATATAATAAACTACATAATTTTAGTATGCGTGATGGATACTTACTGCCATTTCATGTAAAGATAAAATCAACACTGCCAAGATTGTCACGAAAGGTTAATCAATGAACGAAGAAAGAATTAGTTAAATTAATTAAATAACACAGGTAAACCTGTGACCAAATATAAATTTAGAAAATGTAAACAATTATAAATTACTTGACGATAGTGAAGTTGCATCTCATTTAACTAATGAATTTAGAGATTCGGTATTTGAATTTTTAGATAGGCAACAATACGAAGAAATAAAAAGTGTACATATTCTAAAGCAGACAAAAGTGTTCTTTAATGCTGTTTCGTTTGATGTTGAATTTCTTTGACCGATTATTGCAATGTTATACATTTTTGCGGTTAGATATTGTTATAATTTTAATTTTTGTATTTATAGGCGCTATTGTAATTTTGTTAGTGTTAATGTAAGTGATTTAGTCTCAAGGTGGAGTTGAAAGTTTGTATCGTCTTCCATTAAGTATGATAATTCAAGATTTCTTTTCCTGTTACGCCATATCAGAATATTCGGAAGTTACATGGAAATTAATAATTTAACAGAACACGAGTTATCCTGGAAGACAATAATGATGGATAATAGCTGTATAAGCAAAGATACCTAATTTCACGTTCAAAATATTCATTACGAAGAATAATTATGATGATAATAAGAAGTTTTTAAAATAAAATTATTTACTGCATGACTGTTGCCGTTTTATTGCTATGACATGCCGTCCTTTTTATAGCATCGCTCGTGAGTGCAGTATTAAAAGTAACAAAAGTCATTAATTTCAACAATTTTTATATCTTTCACATGTAATCAGTATTAATTTAAATACCTTTACCTTTACCCCTTACTAATAAAAAGTTATACAGTTGTTGGACACTGTTTTAAAATGACATTTCCATACTAAACGTCACTTTAAAATACTTTTCAACGAGCGTGTAAGTTTTATTATTAAGGGGGTTAAACTATAGAAATCAATTAAATATCGATTAAACATGATAATGATCATACTAATAATAAGTCTTCAAAGGGAATCCAATACCCTTCCATAGCTGGAATGCAAACAAAACAGGTGACTTAAAAAGCGTCTACAAATCATGGCAAGTGAAGGTAGGGCAGGTACCTTTTAAATATTGTCAGATTTTGAAAGGAATAATAAATCTAGCCACAAATGTTGTTCATCATCAATCATGAATTTATTTCCGTGTGTTTCTTTACATTTAATTATTCCGTATCACTTCATTTAGTCCGTGATTCCTCTGCTTAGTATCGCGTACGCTTCCTCGACGTTGGCTGAGATGTCTTCCGCAGGTTTGTTTCCAGATACAAGCCAAGTGGATGCGCTGGCGCCTCTTTTGTATGCTTCTACCAGTCCACGCACAGCGTTTTCGGTTCTTGAAGAAAATATTATGATTTAGTATGGATATTAGTATAATGAGGCCCTTTTATAAAACGTCTGCCATAAGTCCGTCCAAACCAATGGCTTCAAGTGCTCTCCGAAACACGAAATTTAATTTTATTCGAACGGTCACGAAGTTGATTTATGCCTTTACTGGGAATTGAACCCAGAATCCCTGATTCGAGAGACCACGGAGACGTAAATTGTTCACAATGTATGTTAAAAAGTACCTAACAAAATCTAAATAGAGAACTCATCTAATATCTAGTTGACACTATTCCACATCCAACATGTTGAAAAAACTTACGTCTGTGTTGGCATAACTTTAAGACCATCAAAGAATGATTCCCTTAAGTCCGGATCGAAGCTGTCCGCTTTGTTTGTGGTGAGCAGCGAAGTGTCCGTGCAACCAAAGCATAGAGTTACCACTCGCACTCCAGTCCGGGAGTAAGTAGGGTCCATCTGTAAACATCTAGTTTTGTAGATGACGAAATTCGACTAATAGATCGTAGTAAACCTATGAGGGACGACCATGTCTATCTGAAATAGATAGTAGACAGTGAGGTCTAGCTCACTGAATAAAGTCAATTTTGATTTTGATTTGATTTTGATTACTTAGCTGTGCCAGCAACTTCGTACGCGTGGAAATCCAATCGTAATTTTCTCACCGTTTAAACCTTCCCTGGACTACAACAATCATTTCAAAACCAAATCGGTCCAGCCATTCTCGAGTTTTTGAGTTTTTGCGAGCTTTTAAATATTATTCTTACCCCAAGACAAAGGCTGAACTGCAGGACCGCGCTCTTAGTGGCGTGGTAGATTGGTAAACATTGATCCTGGAAGAGCGCACCGATGGATGAGATGTTGATGATGGTGCCCCCTGTGCCTCCATGGTCTTTGCGCATGATGTCATATGCACGTAATGAACTTGTGATTAGAGCCGTCTGTAAAAGAGTATTCAAAAGTGAAAGTCCGAAATTCTAAAAAGAGAGATGAAACATTCAAGACAGCTAGATACAAAAATAATATTAGATAAGGATTTTTAAACGCTAGACTGGAAAATGCTGTCCTTTTACATAAATGTAGATATCTCACTGTCTCATTTAATCGAAAACATGATCTCTAGAGACACACTAGCAACACCCCTTACAACTCCGTTTATCCTTTATTTTATGAAGCTCCTTACCATATTAACGGCTATAGCCTTCATGTAGACATTAGCGTTGTCGTTAAGTATCCCAGCGCTGTTGACCACCGTGTCGATATATCCACACTGCTTAAGAACTGCATCGTAAGTATCGTTTAGTTCACTGGTTGTGATGTCACATTTGTAGAACTTTACTTTGTCCGCACCATATTTAGCTATAAGTTCGGCTTCCAGTGCAGTCCCGTTTTTGACGTCGACATCTAGGATGGCGACATGCTAGAAGAAAATGAAAATAATTACGAGATATTACAATTATTTCCAGTTTTTTGGCTGCAGCTTTTTGGAACAAGTGAAAAAAGTGGTTACCAAAATTAAGATCATTAATATTAAAACCAATATTTTTAATAGACTGTCTACAGGAAATGTATTTCTCAATCGTCGTTCATGATTATTTTTCAGCTTATGACATCGCTTCGTTCGCTACTGGATCTAGGTCAGATTATACTTGGCATTATATAATTTATGGTCAATTTCTCAAAATGTAAAGTACCTATAGTATACGTTACGTTTTACTTTTTTCACTTACCTTGGCCCCCTCCCCAAGAAAAGCCTTGACCACACCAGCTCCTATGCCAGCAGCGCCACCAGTAATGAAGAAAACTTTGTTCTTAACTTCGTACATACTTGCTTAGAGACTGAGTGTATTTAAATAAAATTAAATACCTATATCGCAATATTATCACTATAACATTAAGTAGCTGCTGTTGCAGAGCAAAGCAAAACAATGACTAGAAAATATATGAATAGAGCAAGTTGTTAACTTATCTTAGATAGCAGTGTTTTTGTGATATAAATAAATGAAATAAAATAATACACTCAGTATTTTTTTCGCATTTATAATATTAGTTGGAACTATCTGTCTATAGCTACATCGGCTTTTTGAATAATTACCTGCTTTATTTATAACAGTTCACCATAAATGTAGCCTGAACGGAAAATAAGTGGAAAATAAAAAAAATAAGAAGACATTTAAAGAAGTAAAAGTGTATTTTTATGGAATGGTATGCAACTTTACAATTTACGGCAATTGGCAAACATTTTATTTGTAAACTGACCAATATATGAAACGACTAGCGGCCGCCCGCGACTTCGTACGCGTGTATCCCATTTTACCCCCTAAGGCCTCAGCCTCGAATTTAGCGGGCAGGGGGGCCGCTCGTTGCCCGCTCCCGCGCCGCTGTTTTCGAGAACCGCTCTATTTGATTTTACGCATAAGATCCTGGGCGGGCGGGCAACTCAGACCCATTCTCGAAACAAGCGGGCAGCTCGCGCGGCGCTTTAGCGGCGAAGCGTTGTGTTCGGGATTGTGTTGTCGAGATATTTGTTTTTATTCGCAAACGAAATGTCTGAACAACGGCGACAATTTTATTTCGATTCAAATTTATTCCTAACGCTCGATTTATTGTGGGCAAAAGAAGGAGTGCGCTGCCCGCTCGTTGCCCGCTCCCGCGCCGCTGTTTTCGAGAACCGGTCTATTTGATTTTACGCATAAGATCCTGCCGCTCCCGCGCCGCTACCGCCGCCGCCCCGCTGCATGCTAAATTCGAGGCTGAGGCCTTAGGGGTGGAGTTTCGTAAAATCCTTTCTTAGCGGATGCCTACTTCATAACATTTACCTGCATGCCAAATTTCAGACCGATCCGCCCAGTGGTTTGGGCTGTGCGTTGATAGATCACTATGTCAGTCAGTTAGTCAGTCAGTCAGTCAGTCAGTCAGTCAGTCAGTCAGTCAGTCAATCAGTCAATCAGTCAGTCAGTCAGTCACCTTTGAGTTATAATATTTAGAATTGCTCTAGATTAGTAAGAAAAAACAAATAATGACTGAGTTTCTTCCACCAGTTCTTCTTAGCACCAGCCCATAATATAATATATGTTGTCCTGATGTGGTGGTAGAGCTAGCTATATTTGGGACGTGTATAAAAGTGCTCTGGATAGGGCCTATGTAATATTATATAAACTATTTTATTTATTATTTATAAATAAAGATATAACGGTACACTCATAAATCAGGGTTTACTCATAAATCCGTTTAGACATAATATCGTAGGCTTCCTTTATGTCTGCACTGATATCCTCGACCGGTCTGCCAGACGTGGACAGCCAAGTGGTTCCACTGCTGGCCTGTTTGTATGCATCCACTAACCCCCTGGCAGCAGCATCAGCTCTGTGGACATGATAATGAAATGATGAATCAAAGCACAGTTATAGATCGTTTCATCCACGAAGACGCGCCCCACCATTCTTCCGCTAATATTTGAGTGTTATCGATACACGCTAAATTACCCATGAGTGTACATGCACACTACAATAATGAAGCTCGAACTTTCCCCGCGCTTCTCTCGACCTAAAATTGGTGGGGCGCGTCTTCGTGGATGAAACGATCTACTATAGTGGAGAACCTATGACATGATCGGACTAAGTAATGAATAAGCCCAACCAAGACGCCTTTAACGTCCCACTTTTTTCGACGTGAGAACTAGGAAAATGGCTAGTCTGTCCGTATTCTTATTCTTATCTACTAGAAATGCAAGATGAGGCCACTGCCTTCAATCTATTGACCACTATTATGAGGAGATTTACTCTTATATTTTAATTTAACTTAGGGAGCTAGGTACTTACTGTTGACTGGGATATTCGCTGAAACGTTCCGGAAAAGTGCTCTCTATATGTTTATCGAAGCTGTTTACATTATGTATGAGAGCTGTTTCGGTTTTCCCGTAACACAATGCAATCACTCGCACGCCGGTCCTTGAGTAGTAATCATTAAGCTAAAAGATTAAAATATTATGATAACTACTTCTTCGTCATCGTTCGTCGTCATTTCAGCCAAATAGTGTTGGCTGGCCCCCCACTAGGTGGACCGATGATCTGGTGAAAGTCCTAGATGCGGACGGCGTAGGACTGGTCCTAGTGGAAATCGTTGGGGGAGGCCTTTGTCCAGAACTAAGTTATTAAGTATCAGAATCTCCTATCACTGCAACGTTTGCGTAGCCAGGATCAGTCAGATCAGGACAGTTTAACCTAAAATGAAACTCAACCAGTGAGGGTTGAGTATTCCTGGCAGATGCTTACTGTCTAGGAATCCACAACTCTGTTTACTTACTCCTATACAGTTGCTGAACTGTAAAACAGCGCTCTTTGTAGCCCAGTACACCGGCATTACAGGGTCTTGACAGAGTCCCGCTACCGATGATATATTGATGATAGTTCCTCCTGAACCTCCCTCATCTTTCCTCATCAATTCCAGAGCTTTGATGGTTCCAGTAACAAGCGCTGTCTAAAATTTGACATTATAATTGAGAGACTTGACCTTAGTTTTGTTAAGTGGGGGTGTGATAAGGCAATTATTAAAAGCAATAATCACTTGTTGATAAATTAGTAATCAATTTGATAAATATCGTAATCGAAAAATGTTTTGAAACTCTGTGTTCTTCGTAAACTCTAGCATAAAATCGAGCTAATTTTGATTAAAGAGACAATTGTTTAAATATGAACTAATTATAGATACCTACTCCTAGAAAATTTCATTCACGATACCAAATAAGAAACAGACTCAAAAACTAGTAGTAGTAGTAGTAATAAGAAACTAAAGAATGTTATTAACTCACCACATTGATTTCAATTTCTTTCCTATAGGCATTTATTCCATCGTTCATTATTCCTGCATTGTTGATCAACACGTCCAGTCCTATTTCTGCTTTGACAGATCTTAGGCTACCAATGAACTGGTCTTCATTAGTCACGTCACCTTTTATAAATTTAACTTTTTCACCATATTTTGAGTTTAGCTCTGTTCGTAGTGCAACTCCGTCTTTTTTGTTCACGTCAAATATTACGATGAACTGCAAAATATGAATTGGAATGGGAACTACCCTTTTATTTCGGGATACTTTTTGTGGATATTGATGATTAAGGGCCTTGTTCACCTTAACTAAATTTGGTGCCAAATAGGCCATTCGTTGCTTAAAGTCACGAGTAGCAACGAAACCTTGACACTGACAAAATACTTCTTACGTTTATTTACTTGTTAATCAGGAAGTAAACTATTTCGAACTTTGAACTGTGAAAAAGGCCCTTAGCCTTCTGTAATATTATTTGGTCTTTTACTAATAATATTTTATCTACCTTAGCACCTTCTTCGACTAAGATTCTAACCACAAGCGCCCCTATTCCAGAAGCAGCCCCAGTTATGAAAAACACTTTATCTTTCACTTCGTAAACCATTTTCAACCTCTCTTCTCTTGAGACTACTACTAAATAAAAACGACCTAGTGGATGTATTAATTAAGTAGGTATTACCAAAAATGCGTATTAATCCTTAGAGTGAAGTGAATAATATTTGTTTTATCGATGAATTATCATGAAAGGTTTATTCGTAATAGAATATGTATCATACGATTGACAAACGAAGTTTCTTTTCTTTATTGTTCATTAAATATTTTCGTGTAAAATAGGTAAAGGTTTTTCTATTTTTATTCTATTCTATTTCTAGTTTTTGCCGTTGTGTGTTGAATGCAATTTATATCATTTTGTTTCCGAATTTATACAACCCTAAGCTTTTAAGGCATGAGTGAATAGGCATCATCTAGGACAGCGGTTCCCGAATGGTGGTCCGCGGAACCCTGGGGTTCCGTGGAAAGGCCGCAAGGGTTCCGTAAAAAATATTATCCCACGTTTCGTGACCGACGTTGTTCGCTCGCACCGACTTGTTTACGCACAAGGGAGGGGCAGGGCGTGCGGGCGGAGTAGTACGGGGGTTCCGCTAGGAAAAGTATAATCAATTAGGGTTCCTTGGAAAAAAAAATTGGGAAACCCTGATCTAGGAATGCTTGCTCCATCATAGATTGCATCTGCATTGCTACTCCTCGGTGAGAGCTATTCGTATTCGTAAAAAAAGAGTAGATTACAACACTAATTTCATATGAATTATTATCATCGACATTCATCGACAATCAATCATGTTAGATTTGATATTAAATATTGGTAATTACCAAGATATCAAATCAAAATCATAAATCTATAATTTAGTGGATGTTGGCGTAACGCGAACCTACTATGGAGATTAGTACAAAAATTTTACTTTTAGTCAAAAAGAAGTTTATTTGATTCTCCTCTTTGGATTTTAATATTCACTTTTTATATTGGAATAGTGTAGATGGAAACCTAAACACCCCTACTTTGAACCATAATAATAATCAAGTTTTACTCCCAGGTGTTTTAAATAAAAACAAAAATGCTGATTTTGATTGAAGTCTATTAAAATAAACATAATAAAGTCATAACAAAATATATTAATTGAACATACGTTAAACGTGAAAACATCTTAACAGAAAACAAAGTGAAGTTCCATAATAAATTATATAAAGTAAAACATTATTATCATAACCACTCAATTGCACTTCTTCTCAGCACGAGCCCATGTATTGTCCCGAAGCGGTGGTAGGGCAAGCTATATTTGGGACGTGTATAAGCACTCTAGAAAGGGCGTAAGTACTGAATAAACTATTTAATTTGATTTGACTGTCTCAACGTGTAATAATAGTTTCTTCTTTATAGTTTTCTATAGGCTGGGTTGCACCATCTTACTTTAACTTTGACAAACTTCAAAAATCTGTCAAAGATCATACAAAAAACACCGGTTATCGTTACGGTCAGAGTTAGGTGGTGCAACTCAGCCTAATGCCCGTTTTCACCATCAATCCCTAATTTTTAAGTGACCACAAAATTCCTGTTAAGTGTTACCATAGAGGCCACTTAAAAATTAGAGATTGATGGTAAAAACGAGCATAAATAATACAGTTTTAACAAAGCCCTAAAATTCTTATCTTAGTTAAAGACCAGCTCTTTTACTAATATTGACCAGCTCTTTTACAATTTTGTTGCAATTTCTTACAAAACTTTGCGCGCAAAAAGCAAATCTAGTATGAAAATCATCAAACTTCTAATGCTCGTAACTCAGTTCAGACTGAGTTTAGAGGTATACATGTCATAGTAAGTTTGGTTTATTACACTATTTTGTAATCAAAAAACAAAGTTTGGTCGATGGCCGCGCGAAAAAAAAAGACGCCAATTTCCGGCATTGTCTTTTGACAATATTGGAATTGATTGAGAATTGACCTTAGCTTTGTTAAGTTAGTGGGGGTGTGATAAGGCAATTATTAAAAGCAATAATCACTTGTTGATTAATTAATCAGTAATCAATTTGATAAAAGTAAAGATTTTGAGGCCAAAAAAGGAAGTTAGAAACAAGAAACTTGTTTCATAATGAACATGAAAAATGTTTTGAAACTCTGTGTTCTTCGTAAACTCTAGCATAAAATCGGGCTAATTTTGATTAAAGAGACAATTGTTTAAATATTAACTAGTTAACTAAAAAAATTCATTCACGATACCAAGTAAGAAACAGACTCAACAACAAGTTACTACTTGGTAACTACTACTGTAGTAAGATAGATACCTAAAGAATGTTATTAACTCACCACATTGATTTCAATTTCTTTCCTATAGGCATTTATTCCATCGTTCATTATTCCTGCGTTGTTGATCAACACGTCCAGTCCTATTTCTGCTTTGACAGATCTTAGGCTACCAATGAACTGGTCTTCATTAGTCACGTCACCTTTTATAAATTTAACTTTTTCACCATATTTTGAGTTTAGCTCTGTTCGTAGTGCAACTCCGTCTTTTTCGTTCACGTCAAATATTACGATGAACTGCAAAATATGAATGGGAATGGGAACTACCCTTTTATTTCGGGATACTTTTTGTGGATATTGATGATTAAGGGCCTTGTTCACCTTAACTAAATTTGGTGCCAAATAGGCCATTCGTTGCTTAAAGTCACGAGTAGCAACGAAACCTTGACACTGACAAAATACTTCTTACGTTTATTTACTTGTTAATCAGGAAGTGAACTATTTAGAACTTGGAACTGTGAAAAAGGCCCTTAGCCTTCTGTAATATTATTTGGTCTTTTACTAATAATATTTTATCTACCTTAGCACCTTCTTCGACTAAGATTCTAACCACCAGCGCCCCTATTCCAGAAGCAGCCCCAGTTATGAAAAACACTTTATCTTTCACTTCGTAAACCATTTTCAACCTCTCTTCTCTTGAGCCTACTACTAATTAAAAACGACCTAACGAATGTATTAATTAAGTAGGTATTACCAAAAATGCGTATTAATCCTTAGAGTGAAGTGAATAATATTAGTTTTATCGATGAATTATCATGAAAGGTTTATTCGTGATAGAATATGTATCATACGATTAACAAACGAAGTTTCTTTTCTTTATTGTTCATTAATATTTTCGTGTAAAATAGGTATAGGTTTTTCTATTTTTATTCTATTCTATTTCTAGTTTTTGCCGTTTTGTGTTGAATGCAATTTATATNAGAGTTAGGTGGTGCAACTCAGCCTAATGCCCGTTTTCACCATCAATCCCTAATTTTTAAGTGACCACAAATCCTGTTAAGTGTTACCATAGAGGCCACTTAAAAATTAGGGATTGATGGTAAAAACGAGCATAAATAATACAGTTTTAACAAAGCCCTAAAATTCTTATCTTAGTTAAAGACCAGCTCGGTTAACATGCCGTATGCTTTCTTTACAACATCGGTGATTTCCTTAACCGGCTTCTCACTGGTGGAAAGCCATACAGATCCATTCTCACCATTTTTGTAAGCTTCTACCAATGCTCTTGAAGCGGTTTGTACTCTGTAAGAAGATAACACAGCGTTTTTAGTACGAAATATTCAATTTTTCTTTCTATTATTCTTTGTACTGAAGCTAGTAAGAGTCTATTGTACAAAATATCATTTTTCTTTTTTTATTTTAGACTTTTTTGTTGTTATTTACTACAGTCATGTAAGCGTGATGTAGAGACATAGGTAGTTGCTGGAAAATACAATATCACGTGTCAGAAACTTGTTTGTTAACCTTTGAACACCATTGTCTAGATTTGAATTCATCATAATAGCATTTTACTTAAAAATAAAAGAATTAGGTACAACATGTTCCTATGAGCACGATATTCGCAGTGTATTTTTTTTTGTTGATAGGTTGATGGACTTGGGACTCATTTTTCAACCTTTGTGGAAAAACAGCGTTTTCACTGCTCATAAGTAAGTATCAATCGAAATCGACAGGTGGGGGAGATTGACTACTTATCCCATAAAACTCTTATCACAGCATCACAAGATGTCAGCTCTATAAATAAAGTTTGTATATTCATTTCTACTCACTTTTGTGTAGGGTAGGCCTTCACTTTCTCCGGGATAGCTTGAGCTATGTCCTGGTCGAAGGAACCCAGGTTGGCGTAAAGTGCTGTGTCGGTCACACCGAAGCACATGCTGATGATCCTCACGCCTGTCCTAGAGTAGTATATGTCGTCCTGGAAAAGACGAAATATGTTATAAATGTAAAAGCGCAAGAAGGAAATACCTAACGAAACGGGACTATTCCCACCACTCTTTCCCACCTTTGCAACTCCAGTATAGCCAGGATCTACAGCTTGACCACCAATAAAAACCCAACCAATGAAGGTCAAGTTTGTCCCGGGTGAAATTTAAACTGTCATTTGACCCGGAACGAAATCAATCAGAAGAACATAGGAGTTCGAAGTAAGGGTTCTACTTCCCTCCAGTGCAAAGCGGGTGACAGGAGCCAAAACAAAAATTCCTAACGAAAGAGAGAATCAATATTCTTGGATATTTTAATATATAGCGCAATAGCGCTATCCATCCACATGATCAACATCAAACTAAGCAAAGCTTGTAAGAACGTACTTGTCCTAGAGAATAATACATAATAATATGTATGTATAGTGTAGGCAAATATTTATACTGCGGGGTCGAACCTGCGACCTTGGAGGAACAAACCAAAAGACGCAAGCCTTCTAAAACTTGCGTTATTCTTTCACACTTCATTTGTTTTAATATGGATATGGGCAAGTTGTAGAATTACTTAGATTGGTGCCAAATAATTCTCTTTCTCTCTATAGGATATACTTAGTGCATTCTACATAAAATATATAGGTAGTTTACGACTCTACATTTATTACAAACTAGCTTTTGCCCGCGGCTTCACCCGCGTGAAATCTAGTTTGTCACTGATCGTCATATGTTATTCTGCCACAGCCTATATACTGTAAAGTTTCATCAAAATCCGTTCAGTAGTTTTTGCGTGAAAGAGTAACAAACATGTTCACATCCAGACATTCATACAAACTTTCGCATTTATAATATTAGTAATAGGATAAATATATTCTATTCCACATTCCATCCAGGACTAACGAGTTTATTAGTACCTAGGTATGATAGATCAATACCTCTAAGAAAACAAAGACAGTGGTCAGGGCCGAATCTATAAAGCCACTAAATCGAAAAATCAATTTTTATATTCTTTTTACACGAAATTCAAAAGACAGCAAATTCGAAAGAATAGAATTTGCTGTAAAAGGATATAAAAATTCATAGGATTTACATAACAACGACGTATGTAAGTAGCAAAAACACGGTACAAAAAGCATTTAAAATTATTCTGATTTAATCTGTTTAATATTCCACACAATTTTGTATACTAATTCTTATAAGATACACCATACAAGAATGCGTGGTAAATTCAGAGAACTGCTCCTGAATCAATAATGTACCTACTACTGCTATTTCTATTTATTTATA